CTCTCCGTCAGCCTCGTAGCTTGAGAGTCACAGAACGCCAGCAGGAGGTCCGCTGGGTCAGCACTCCCCTTAGCGCTGGCTTCTTCAGGTGGAGACACCCCCTTTCCCTGGTGGCCCTAAGTTGGGGGTTACTCTCCTTTCTTGTAGGAATGTTCACTGGAACCAAAGACAGCTTCACGGAGAACCCAGCTGATGGCACCCGCGAGTGGGGAGGCAGGGCGGTTCCCAGCGTCCTGGCCGTGCTGGCCGTGGTCGTGGCTGTGGCCACTGGCTGGCTGTGCAGGAGCAGGTGCCCCAGCCGGAGCTACACAGGTATCCGAGGGGCCTGCGCTGTAGGCAATGAGCATTTATTTCATCGGGGTGAGGGCGGCCCTTTTCCAGGACCTGCTCAAGCTCCGCAAGGCTTTCTTTCACGGGAGGCGTGGTTTCCCTGCGGTACTGCGCGTGCGCGCGGCCACGCCGACGCTTCTGGGTGTGGGGTCCCCAGTCCCCACGACCCTCGCTCAGCGGGCAGGCGAGTACAGAGATCAGGACCCGGGGCATCTGTGGACACTGAGCCACTGGGATCCCTTCAAGGCGGTCTGTTGGATTCTGGCCAAACACAAAGACGGACCCAGAAAGTATGGGTACTGACCATGCTAAACAAAGAAGCAGAGCTCATGGTGGGGAGCAGAAAAATCCAGAACCCAGGTGTCAACAAGAGGGCCTGCCGTGCTGGCCTGGGCCCCGCCCGGGCCTGTCGGGGGAGAGGCGGGGCACAGCGCAGTCTCCCCAGGCCAGCCTGGTGGTGGAGGTCAGCAGGCGTCCCCAGAGGTCCTGTCACTGAAGCTGGTCTCCTCCTGGACCCCCGGCAGTGGAGGACGGGGAGCTCAGCTGGACTAAGGAGTCATAGCACAGTGGGATGGGGCTTCTCCGTGCTGCCCTGCAGTTTGCTTGGCTGCTAATTCCATCATCCCAGCAACACTTCCCACTGCCCACGGCCCCACTGTCGATGCTGCCAGGCCGCTGAAGGTGCCCTGAGCTTCTTGAAGTGCTTCTCACGCTTGCCTCTTGCCGTCCTGCCTGAGCAGGGAGCCGCTGGAGACGGCGGGGTGGGGAGGGCTGCTGGGCAGAGGCCCCTGCGGTCTTCAGCGCACTCCCTCTTCACTGCCCACCCTGAGCGTTTCTGGTTTGTTCCAACAGGTGCCCAGCCTTTGAGGCCAGAGCTGGAAGTCACCGGTGAGTTTGCCAAGAGGGAAGGAGGCCTGTGGAGGAGGTGCGGGGGGCTGGGGGGTCTGGGGGCCCGGGCAGGCTGGACTGGCGGCTCTCCCCGTGTCCGCCTTTCAGCCCGAGCGACACTCGATGGGCAGGAAGTAGGTGCTTCCAGGTCCAGAGACACAGTGGAACCCAGGGGGAGGCGTGGCCCACTGGCCCTCCTGGCGTGTGGTCCTGTCTCTGGTGTGCTTGCTGATGTGTGCCACGGGATTTTCCTGGACCACAACCCCAGGCGCCCCCCGCCTTCTCCGTCCTCCCACCATCATGTCCCCACCCCGGCCCACTGTGGGTTCTCCTGCGAGTCCACACCCTTTGTGCAGGCGAGCACCTCACATTCCCGGAGCAAAGACCAGTGAGACTCCCGCCCCAATTTGGGAAAATATTCACACACAGGGTCTTCAGTTTGGGCTTCCCGCCAGCACATGCCGTGGGCTGCGAGGGTCTCCGTAGTCCGACTGGGGGGCTCCACACCTTAGACAAGTGGCCGCGCCTCCCAGAGCCCTGCTTCCCCACCTGTGAGAAGGGCCGTCAGGGGAGGGTGGGCCCAGGGCGCACACAGCCCAGCCAGCGGCACCTGCACACCTGTTCACCAGGTGAGTCCGAGTCGCGTGGCCGCCTGGTGCCGCAGCAGACTCACTTGTCCCTGCGGCCAGTTTCA